ACTTAGAACAAAAAGAGATTCCATCATCAAGCGCTCGTCGAAGTGGAGATTTTGGAACATCTCAGGAAGAAAGATTTAGAAGCGAATGCGTCGCACAATGTGATACACATGCTAGAATACTTCTACTTCAGGAACCATTTGTGCATCACCTTTGAGTTAATGAGGTATGCGCTCTCCTTTCATCTTCGAATGCATTTTCTTCTCTGTTAAACACTAGTTCTAGACAACATTTTGGCAAATGTAGATAATCTTGACGACGAATAATTGATATGAAACTCTTCTTATCTTTTTTTTTAAAGAGAGAAACGTAATTTTTATGTTATAATTTATAACATTTGTTAACAAGCTATTACCTATTATCGAATCCTGTAATTATATTCATCGTTTCTGTTTTCAGTTTGAATTTATACGAGCTAATCAAAAAGAATAACTATAAGGGATTTAGTCTGAGCCTAATACGACGATTCGCCAATTCGTTAATTAGCTGCCTGAGACTGCTGTATCGAGAGAAGATAATTCATTGCGATTTGAAACCTGTAAGTATATTTGTACATCAATAAACAAGAATAAAAATATAACCTCAAAAAAAAAAAAAAAAAAAAAACGAAAACAAAAGATACTACTCGCTCTCATACAAAATGTATGAAACGAATCATCTCCCTTTATCCAATGAAAACCATCAATCCTCCAGTAAGTAATGTTAATAAACGAACGAACTTGCGTACAAAATAAACAGTGACAACTAAGAATGAACTTTCCTTGACGCCACTTTCATTCTCTTCGTATTTGCAGGAAAACGTGCTTCTGAAACAGCGGGGAAGCAGCTCGATTAAGGTGATAGACTTCGGATCCTCGTGTTACAGCCATCAGCGTGTATATACGTATCTCCAGTCCAGATTTTATCGAAGTCCAGAAGTGATTCTGGGTCTTCCATACGGTACACCGATCGATATGTGGAGTTTGGGTTGTATTCTAGCCGAACTCTATACCGGTTGCCCATTGTTCCCGGGCGAGGATGAAATTGAACAGCTTGCCTGCATTATGGAAGTTCTTGGCCTGCCACCGGAACATATTATTAATCACGCATCCCGTCGCAGGCTTTTCTTCGGTGAGTAGAAGCGTGAAATTGATGTATTTTTACGATGCGAGGTGTATTATTGGGGAGTTGATAAATTATAGGGGTGGCAGAGGAAGATTTTGTTTTCTTTAGCGAACAGGTTATTGATAGGGTGGTGTAGGGTGGTATTATTCTGGTGAAATAAAAGGAATCGGTTACAGATCCGAAGGGAAGTCCTCGATGCGTGACAAACAGTAAGGGCAAGAAGAGATGGGCTGGTAGCAGGAATCTTGCCATAGCTCTTCGTTGCACCGACACACTTTTCGTCGACTTTGTTCGCAGATGCCTCGAGTAAGTATCCCAACGAACTTCGTTAACGTTCTCCCATCAAGAAAGAAAAGAAACGTGTATAAAACTCTTTTACATACCTCTTATTATATTACGTGATGATCCAAATTATATTTTATATTTCCAATCGTTTCGTTCAAAATTAATCTAATTCCAGCTTTAAAATTGAAATGAATCCGAAGGAAACCGGGCGTTCGAGTCCAATTGGAAGATTGGCAAGAGAAAGTAGTGTTTGAATAAAAAGAGAAATCTTCTTAGGTGTTTTCTAACCTAAGCACAAAAGTTGCTCGAACTTGTATACAAACCGGGCCATCATTATCACGTCCAAACATCATCATCCCAGAGAGAACGTCTCCTCTAACGAAAGTGTATTCTTCTTTCCTTGGCAGGTGGGATCCAAAGAAACGCATGACCCCCGACGAGGCGATGCGTCACGAGTGGCTGAACTCGTCCTCCTTTCACGTGAGCTCCTCGACGTCGACGATAGCCGCGTCGACGGTGAACGCGAACACGAACGCGAACGCGAACACAACGAGCATGGAAACGTCGTCGCAATCCGCCCACGCTCAGACAGTTAGCGTGACAGTAAGCGCGCCCAGGCAACGGGCGACCACTGTCGAGGATCCCCCCTACACGATGTATCGTTTGTGCAAAGGTCGTAAGTACGTGCAGAGGATCAGCACGACCGAAAACACGGACAACGCAGGCCTCGTAGTGAAGAGTAAGCTGAACGGAAGCGCGAGCAGCCACGCGCTCGCGAGTAGCACGCAGACTACTACCTCGAGGCACGCCTCGACCGGCGATATCGTCGCGAGTCTGGACCCAAATCTCGACGATTCCGGTACGTTTTTACCGCCGATATTGTGAAATCGGTTTTGCGCTACCCACTTCTAGATGCTTTCGCGCGTACCGTGTCGCGATCGAACAGCACTCGCTCTCCGATCTACACCGAGATGATATGTGTATATATATATATATATATATGTATATATAAGTATATATACATATATATATATATATATATATATGTATAATAAAAAGGAAAGAAATTATGTTTATACGTAATTAAGAATGACAAGCGTATATTGGCCCCTTTTTGTGGAACGAGATAACAAAGATTGGACGGTTGATTTGATTACGACAATAAAAGCAAATCGTGTACACAGAAATGCATGGCCAATCGTGCCAAGTTACACAAGACCAAAATGTATAAATTCGAATTAATATGGATTATTATAAACGATGATGATTTTCCGGTTGAGGTAGTTGATCACGCCAATTAATAATTGAGTAGGAAATTTTTAAATTTTCGATATCCGGTGTGCTCGAAGAGTGAGAGGAATCACACTTGGGACATGATACATGACACCGAGGCATGTAGAATTGGCTGGCTGTGGATCTGGCCATCGATCGTTGTCGTCGACGCCAAAAGGCTAGTCTAGCGTTTTCCCTTGCTAGTCTCTCAGCGTGTATCGAGCTACATTAAACGAGGCCAAAACAATTTTTGACGAAGACGCGCGCGTGTCACGAACACAACGAGCATGATTTTTAATTATAGTGAAAACGGGGGATGCGGTTGTTTCTATCCGTTTCTGTAGCCGCGACTGACGAAAAAAGAAAGAAAAGGAAAGATATATGATCCCAGCGGCCCGACGTCACTCAGGTAATAATATCGTAAACGACGCGCGTGCACCGATATCGTAGAAGTCGATCGGAAATAGAATTTTGTTCCCTAATCCGTTTGTCCGTAAGACACTCGTCCCTTAATCTAAATAAAACACCTCCAAGTGTTAGCGAGAATTTTACAACTTTAGTCGACGATGCGTTTTTGCAAATCGCGTTAATAGAGAAGAGATCGTTTGCAAAAAGAAAAAGAAAAAGAAAAAAGAGAGAAACACTTCTTCCAACGATAACAAAGATCATTCAAAGTATGTTGTTCACCGAAAGTTTTAAAATGGACGAAACTCCTCAGTCGCGCACAGTTGCCCTGTGTTAAAACAATTCATAGAACGTATATATAGTTACATAGGCGCATATACGATCGTCGCGATTAGTAACGTTGTAAGAAAAGTTCGATTCGCTATCGACAGGCGCAAATTAATGTTAACGATATATATATATATTATATATATATATATATATATGTATACTACATGTATACGAAGAAATATGTACGAGGAGAGAATAGCGAAAGGGTGAATGCGTTCTTAACAACGATATTTCCGCACGATTTTTCATCGAGCATTATTCAGCATCGAATCGCGGTTAAAAACGTGAAAGAAGTAGAAAAAGAAAATAAAAGAAAAAAGATAAAAAAATAGGTAAAACCTGAGTCGTCTGAAACCCCGTGACAACAGGGTACCGATTAAATAATGAAAAACGTCAAGGCAAACCTTGGTGAGAGAGGGAGAGAGAGTGTGTGAGAGAGGGAGAGAAAGAGAGAGAGAAAGAGAGAGAAAGAGGCGATGCTCCTGGAGATGAAGCGTACCCCAGTTTCACGAGGCCTGAGTAGTCTTATTGTGATATTAATCTACCACTGTCTTTTACGTAGATCTCTGATATTAAGAAGTAAACGATCGCTATAATTAATGATTATCTTTTTTTCATTCTATACTATCAATCATTATTTTCTTAATATTGATTTATCGCTCTCACTATTATAGCAAGATTATATAATTACGATATTAACGAAGTTATCCAATGAGTAATAACAGAGATAACATTATGATTATTATTATTATTATTATTATTAATATTATTATTATTATTATTATTGTTGTTGTTATTATCATAAGGATTGTACAGATTTAACGAAGCCTTTGAAATCCAACACAGCATACATTCGCTTCTTTATTAACATTTTTATTTCTTTTCGTTTTTTTTTTTCTTATTACAATAGACGAGTAAAAAAAAAAAATTAGTCAAACGCTTGAAATTTATTTACTACATTTGTTTTCGCATAATTTTGGCTATTAATGTAACATGCATAACATTTTAAGCAGAATTTTATCTTTCTTTTTCTATTAACCATTTTAACTTTTCTCATTTTATTATCTTGTTACGTTAACCAAACCTTAATTAGAAATTGCATCTCTTCACTCATCGGTCGATTGTAGGTTATAAAAATATTAAGATCGAAGATTCATGTTACTTTTTAGTGTAAATGCGAAGGATTTGAAAGGAAGATTTCTGTACCGTGTAATATACGTTGCCTCGATACACATACACACACATACACGCGCGCAAGAAGAAGAGGGAGAAGAAAAGAATTTTCTCGCTCGGTGTTCAAAAATCACAATGAAAGTTCAACTAAACGAGAAAGATATACTTATAGTTATGATAAATGTCATTAGTACTATTCGTAAATGTTCGTTATTAGTGATTTTCGACCCATTCTGCCACGTATTTTTTTTTTTTTTTTGTGTTTGAATTGAAATCAAAACATAGTCGATTTAGAAGATATAACGAGGTTATAATTAATTAATTATACAGAAAATTGCAAATGTTTGGACTTTCACAAACAGAACTTCAAATATTCAGAAGAGATAAAGAGTTGGAAATATCATGTCAATTTTAAAATAATTAGATAGAACAATTAGATTCTTTTAAATATTTAAAACAGTAAATAAAATTAAATTGTAATTGGTGATAAGTGAAACAAATTACAATTAAAAGTTGACAATTTTTTCTACCTTGATATTTTTCAATAATCATAATTATGATTTTGATTATATCTGATATTAATTTATATTTAATTTATATTTATATCCTCGATATATCTATCTGAATGAACTATATTGCCATGCAGTAAAGATCGCTTTTTATGGGAATATAAACGTAAGTTGTCTTCGAGTATTATGTCGAAAGGCAACAACGATTTGATAATCGTGTTCAAAAAATGCATGTTACAAAATAATAGAAAAAAAAAAAAAAAAGAAAAGAATAAAAGCAAAGGCAAACGAAAAATATTCAATTAATGATAAAGAAGTGATAAAGACTGAAGTAATAAAAAGTTATTTTTAAAATTTTATTTAAAAGCATACAAATTCGTAAAATGTATTCATAAAATACATTTTCTTTGCATTGTACTTTTTTTATATTTCGTTGACTAAACGACCACAGCCCGAAATGCATTTTTTTTTTTATTTTTCCCGCGTTTTTCTTGCATTCAAAAGAAAAAAAAAATGATTCGATAATCGATAAACTGATCATAATATGGTGATGGCATTGATTTTTTGTATAGATAATCCTACATAATTGTTGTGTAATTTTCATATGTTTGAATAATCAAAGTATATCTTTTATTCATTCAAATATCTCTAATTAATATTTTTAAGCATTTGTTTATTAGACTTGAATCAAAATCTTGTACGTGGCATATAATGGGAGACAACTTACTCTATGCAAAGAATAAATAGAATATATTATGAAAAATGTTAAAAAAAAGCAATATAGGATAAGGTATTCGAAAAATATGTGGATATCTTTATTGTTCTCTAATGTAGAAAATAGTGAAATAATAGTGAAAATAATTTTTTCAGTGTCAAAATATATTTTATATGAAATAAAAAATAAAAATTTCTAGAATGTTTAAATTACAAATTTATAAATAAATCATAGTTAAATACGATATATATATATGAACGAATTATAAACAAATGTTAAAAAATCAAGAGAAAATTTGTAATGGTAATTTTAGAGGTTAAAAATATTCAAATATTTTCTACATACCTTATCCTATAGAAACAAGCTCGTATTACATAATAAATGATATGTAATAAAATAGTATTTAATTTTTTAACAATATATTTTAAAATATATTTTAAATATTTCGTAAATTCCGAAATCTTAAATTGATCAGAGCGCGTAACGAACGGTTCTAAATTCACAGGCGCCACCGGCACGAGAAAAAGAGAGAGCTGCCCACAGAAGCACTTTGTTCGACTATAGTCAGAGCGACGAGTCAACATTTAACGAGTGTAGTATCTAAACCACGTACATAGCTCACACATAACCTCACACACAACAGACACAGAACAAATTTATAGCGAAACAAGAAATATCAAATTGTGTATAATAATTACATTAATAAAACTCGTGTGCGTCCGTATGCATATGTGCGTGAGAACGAAAGAAGAAAAAGAAACTGAAATATCAGAAAGGAACACGGAAGGAAGATATGTTAGATATGTTAGAGAGAATGTGTCCAGCGAGAATGCGTTACATTATCGCATATACATATATACATATACAATTTTACGTGTTAAGTAACCCACGCGGAAGCGAAAAAACGAGTTAAATATAGGATATTCATTTAGAAAATAGAGAAGACCGTTCGAACAACGTAGCTCCGATACATGGAGTCCCCTGTTTCCCATTACTCTTCCCTTTGATACTGTTCGATTGTGTAAAGTCGTGTCGATTAAATCGTTTATAAAATTTTCAATTAGAAAAGATTTAGAAAACTATCAGAAGAAATATTTTCCTTTCCTGATAGATTTATAATTAAAGTCTTATATACATATACTATAGTGACGATCTGGTCATTTGATCTGTTCGACGAAATTATTGTTCAAATGTGATGAACACAGATATTCGATAAATAAATATTATTACGCTATGACTACTGCTATTTCATAAACAAGAATATATATATACATATAGATGCCAAGTGTCTAAAGTGTCTCCTAGAAGCAAAAAAATTATAAATGCTTAAATAAACAGCTTAATTTTATATACAATACAAAATATTTAATTGAGAAACACATTTTGTATCGGTTTTTAAACGATTTAATCGAATCGATTGATCACATTTGACGCGAAAAATTTACGAGCACGAAAAACATGAAATTGAATCGATAAATCTTTCTCTCTTTCATTATGGTTTTTCGTTCTCACGAGTTATTCACGTCAATTGTACAGTCCTCAAATTTTTTAGTTGTGTTCACTATATTGTATACAGTGGGATCAAATTACATGCGTTAGGATCGACTAATCTACGTAAACTGATCGTCTCACGTTTAACATGTATTCGCGCATGCGTACATGTCTTTCGTGAGATGAGATTTGCCTAAAAAATTTAAATAAAAATTATTAAAATATACTTTCTTTAGAAATAAACAAAAATTAAAAAATGAAAAAAAAGAAAAATATGGGACAAAATGATGTTTAAATAATCAATTTATGTATCTTCTAAAATGAAATTTCTTATATTAAATTCAGTTGGATTGAGAAAGAATCATTGCCGTCTGGTAATCCAAGTTTATCGGTTAATAATAGCCGAAATAGCATGGACATACAAGACAGTCACTTTCTAGTCCAAAAACATGTTACGAAAAAAAGGGGATGGTCTAAAAAGGTCTAAACTCTACTAAAAAATAAAAGGGAAGACTCTCTTTCAGGCTTCAGCGTGGAATGCTCTTAGTGTATATCTGTTAGGACAACGTGTAACTAATTATCGAGTTAACGACGTGATTAGATCTATCAAATTCAATTAGATAGTAACTGTGCATAAATGGCGAGATCGTTGCCATAGCCATGACCGCGACCGTCCCTTTTCCCCCTCCCTTCTGGACATATAATATCGATCCATAATGTTCGATTAATTCACAAAATTATCCTTGTGACGATTAATTGTTCTTGCTTAGTGTATTTCAATAGGACAATCACAAATAATAATTTTGTGTTAGTATATTACCAAAATTATAGTTAAGCGTTTATGGAATTTTAAATAGCGAATTATTTTTTTTTTTTTTTCTCAAAATCCAAACATTGAGGTTCTGTGCGCTGTTGCCGATTGAGAGAGACTATAACGGAATTTGTAAATTTTCTTCACATTGTATGTTTCCGTCATTGTCAAGTTCTCTTTATATAATTAAATTTCATGTGGTTAATATAGATCGTATTTCTCGAAATAAAAGCATGTACAAAATGTAATAAGAAATATATCTTTGGTAATGACACAGATTTTCGCATGTTTGAGACAAAAATCGATAGCATAAATTCTAATCGTGATTTTCTTCATTAGCAATATATTAGCATATATTATTTTGAGTTATTATACTAATTAAACATATAAATATATGCATATTACATATGAGAATTTTTTATTCGAAATGTAATGATGAGCTTCGCAAAATAAAAAAATAAAGTGGAATAAAATCGGGAGGGGGAAAGGATATCTCACAGAATATAGAAGAAATATGGGAAGAAATGAGAGGAAGAGAGAGGAGAGAGAGAATGAGAGTGAGAGAGCAGGAATTGATAATAGTGGTTTATAACTCGATGTTGAATAGCAGGAAAGACCTTGTTATTATCGTACAGTGTGAGTTCGTCAATTTCTGCTCAACTTAATTATAGTGAACGAAAAGAATTGCTAATAATAAATGATTATAATAATGACATTAGTATATGTAACGATACAATACTGAAGCATCATCATCTTTTGTATCATTTGTTCGTTTGTTTTTATCTTACTGCGTTTGTCTTTCATTATTAATGCAATACCAAGATGACTCGGTTTCGACACGGTATCTTGTGTGTAAATATATACTAATAAAAAATACAAACATATAAAAATGATGTTATAATCTTTATCCCATATAATATTTGTGAAATATAATGATAATTATAATCTATGAAAATTATTCAAATTAGTTTTAGAATGGTTTAAATGATTTTATTTGATTTTTATTAATATTAAATACATAATTTACATAATAAAAAGAAATATAATATATTCAGCATAATAATAAGTACAAATCATTTATCTATATTTAGGATTGTTGCTTTACTCTGATTAGTATATCATTCTATATTGAAAAAAAATGATTTAATATAACTAATATGATTATGATTTGAATACAGATCACACAGTCTACTCAATTTTAATTTAAAAAAAAGAATAAAAAAAGAAATAGAAAATTATTTTCAAAAAATTACATTGCTTCACAGAGATTTTCAACAGATAGAAGGCACAAGATGCAATGTTACATACATATACAATATTATTAACATTATTACAATTATACATACAATTAACTTCTTTTAGCAATACACATATGTTGTGATATTGTGTTTTTGTAAGATATGCATTCTACAGAGATAAATTTCTAATAAAGGATTAATAAATGATTTAAATAGATATTAGAGTACATGCATAAGAATAAACTAAATGTATATGTATGTTGATTTGCATTTGATTATTTTAAATCTTGTGATAAAACTTAAAATCTTGTAATCCCAATGCTACCTTCTTCGTTCTCCCTTCTGTGTTTTTCGTTTTTCCTTCTTTTCCTCTCTTAATTGTTTCTGTTTTTCTCTAAAATAATATATTTATTAATAACATATACATAACTTTTTTTACACATTAAAGATTTGATTTATTGAAAACACACCGATCTTCTTTATCTTTCTCCTTTTTTCTTTGACTTTCCAATTTAGCTTTTTCCCTTTTTTCTTTTTCTTGTTGTATTATTGCAGCTGCATTTGTATTTTTCTCTATTCCAC